GAGAGAGATTAGTAAGTAGTAAGTAGTAGTAGTAAGTAGTAGTAAGTAGTAAGTAGTAAGTAGTAAGTAGTAGAGTAGTAAGTAGTAATAAGTAGTAAGTAGTAAGTAGTAAGTAGTAAGTAGTAAGTAGTAAGTAGTAAGTAGTAAGTAGTAAGTAGTAAGTAGTAAGTAGTAAGTAGTAAGTAGTAAGTAGTAGTAAGTAAGTAGTAAGTATATATAGTAAGTAGTATAGTAAGTAAAGTAGTAGAGAGTAGTAGTATAGTAAGTTAGTAGTTAGTAAGTAGTAAGTAGTAAGTAGAAAGTAAAGTAGTAAGTAGTAAGTAGTAAGTAGTAAGTAGTAAGTAGTAAGTAGTAAGTAGTTAAGTAGTAAAGTAAGTAAGTAGTAAGTAAGTAAGGTAGTAAAAGTAAGTAGTAAGTAGTAAGTAGTAAGTAGTAAGTATAGTAAAGTAGTAGTAAAGTTAGAAGTAGTAAAGTAAGAAGTAAGTAAGTGAAGTAGAAGTAGAAGTAGAAGTAGAAGTAGAAGAAGAAGAAGTGGAAGAAAAAGAAGAAATCTTACCTCGAGCGGCTTGTTGGCGAGGGATATGAGTTGGAAGAAGGGAGAGGTCATGTAGCCCATGTAGGCGATGGGCGCCAGGGCGAACATGGCCCGAATCTTGGCGTTGTACTCCGGACGCTGAGTAGTCATCACCCAGAAGGCGGTGGTGCCCATGGAGTGGCCGGCGTAGAACAGCTTCTCCTCGCCAGTCTGCTCCAGCACGTAGTCGATGGAGGCGGGGAGGTCGTACAGGCCCACTTCGTGCCAGTCGAAGTTCCAGAACTTGCGGTTAAACAATCCCCCGGGCTTGTACTTGATGTGGCGACGGCTGTACGTGTTCCCGCGAGCGTTGCCCATCCACACGTCGTACCCAGCGTCAGCCAAGATGTACGCTGCAAATAAAATGGTGTTGGAAACTTCCTTTAGGAAATCACAATTATATTGGTTGAAAACATTTGCAATTGATCTAACACGTTTGCCGAGCGTTTCAAAGCATGTTAAAGAATATTCAATTTCTCTTGGAGGTAAGGAAGTTATTGTTTAAGCTACTGGATGTCTGCTTTTCCTTTTTTCGCAGTATTGGAAACACTGAAAATTATTTTAAGATATTATAAATTACGGCTCGAGTTTCGACAAAATCATGCGTTAATATATAATATTTTGAGGAAAGATGAAGTTTTGTAAATATTTCCTGCGTAACTGAATACACTGCAGTGTAAGTTATTGATATGCCTAGAAATAAATGAATGGGTAGTTTCATGAATTATATTTCCCAATAAAGAGTTTTATGAAATAACATGCAATTTATAACCGCATAATGTCTTTTTTCATTATAAATTATGCAGGAGGGGTGGTCTCTACAAAGAAATTGAAGCTTTTAAGCAGAAATTCCAATTTATTCAGCTTCTATTTACGAATAGTAGAAGGAATATTCTTAAAACAAGTAATAACATAAAATTACTAGAAAAAAGAAACATAGAAACCTTACTGATTTGATGTTTTACATTAGAATACAATTTTATTATATTTTTTCACGGAAATACACAGGCTGTAAATATTAGTATGTACTTCTGTCTATAAAACAAGAAAAACATACAACCAAAGATTATGATAAATGCACTTAATTTTATTTTTACTATCTTTTAAAGAACTAATGTTTTAGAAGTGGAATTATTAATTAATTGCGTTTTACTTATATATTTCAATTTTTGACATTTCAGTGTACTAACCAAGAGAGTATAATTTTGTGGTTCTGAAGTCTTCTCGACAAAGACAACGAACTTAATGATTTTTACTTGAAAAAATGTACCAATGAAATTGGAAAAAGCAACTGCAATCGTAAAAGAATATTAGAACATAAATTTGAGGCAAGTGAATGTGTAATGTGCGTGAAGCTGCACTGACCGAAGCCGGCGCCGGGGCCCCATGACGACCAGTCGGCGGAGAGCAGAGCAGGCCGTGCTGCAGGAACACCACGGGCTTCTGCTTGCCCTCCTGCAGGGGCGACGCGGCGAGTAGGGCACGCGTGCAGCGACAGGATGTACCCGTCGTCCGTCGTCACCTCGTGCACCTCCGCCGGGTACCCGTACTTCGTCAGCAGCCCGATCTGAGGAGCAAGCAATAACGTAAGTCTCTAACGTACTCGTGCAAGGAACAAATCGTGTATTAAATGTAAATTTACAAGACCATAGATGGATCGAGAATGCCTGGGTGATGCTGTGGCACCACTATTTTCCCCTCCCTTTCGAAACACGACAAGTGAATTGAGAAAAATAGAAGGCAAGACATTCTATCAGGAGTTATTTGTTGAATTTTTTAATATAATGCAACTGAAAATTACTTAGAATTTATATATAAAAATAATGTGAATAACCACAAGATCTCGTCTGTAACTACGAAGATATTACTAAGAATTTAATTCAGTCTGTAATTATCGTTGTATTCCTAGTAGTTTCTGCGTTTCTTTTGCAGTTTCATCTAAGAATAAAGTCTCCCGTAGACCGGCGCGGAAGATCAGCAGCGGGTGCGGCGCGAAAAGTTCCGCGCGTCAGTGGAATTCGCGGGTCTGTTTAATCCGAAGCCAGCGCTCGCTTCTATTCATGTCCGAGATAAAAAATGCCAATACTCTTAATATGTTTTCTGAGTACATGTGGTATGGTGATTTTACCTTCTTTATCTAAGATATTCCATCAAATTGTTAATATCGCTTGAGGAAAGACAAATTTTGACCTACAAAGGAAAAAGTACGGAGAATATCACACCTTGACGCCTTATCGAGAAACGCTTTTAATTTACTAGATCGACCAGTGACTGTTTTGATGAAATTTTGAAACTGGTCGTAGAAGACATAAACAAATCTGACACTTAACAACCATGAAGCTACCTGAAGAACAACTTGTACACGTAAGCTTCCGCGGCTCGAATCCATAAATTCTCGGCTATCCGGAAGACTCCGCGGAGTTGGCTAAGAGGCCGACATTTCGCCTGACATGTCGCAGGCTTCCTCAGGACAGGCTTCCTCACTGCCCTGAGGAAACCTGCAACATGTCAGGCGAAACGTCGGCCTCTCAGCCAACGACACGGCGTCTCCCGGAGAGCCGAGAATTTATAAAGAACAACTTGTTATTGCACTCACTCATTGAAACTTTTCGCTACTACTAAAATAAACAAACTTTTAAGAACAAAAGTATTTAAAAATGGAAATTTAATGTTATTTGAAATTAATTAAATTATGGAACACAATTTGAAGTATTTTTTCTGTTGTGTCGTGTCAAATTCACTGGCGAGATGAAAATATTCGAGATCTGACGAGTCTTTGCCTTGATTTCCACAGCAAAAGTCGTGTTGTAGCGGAAAAAATGCGAAACAAAATGTACCGCGGATTAAACGCTGCCAATCCGCTACCGCGACACTCGCTTGCCGCGCAGGGCTGAACGTGCTCATTAGCCACCACGGGACGCGAAACTTCCGCTGCGGACATTCCACGTAGACTGCGGATGTTCCGCGTCGGTCTTTAGGAGCCTTAACAAGGACAAAGGTCACCTTAAAATTCCCAGGATAAGTAAATCTGTAATAATGGCATCCCGAAAAACATCCTGCATTCGAAGTGCAGCATTCTCTGGCATTCTCAGTCTTATGGTGATCGTCCGCACTCTTCCGGCCGTCAGAGCAAAGAGTCGTTCAGGGTTCACGGTGTAGTATTTAACACTAAAACAATACTAAATGACGTGTGAGTGCGGAGTACAATCTGTGCAAGTTCTCTTGAACTTCCAAATGTCTGTCTTCATCATATCACATGAGCATTTAGGAGTTTATACACACACTGTATTCGAATTATGCATTAAGGACGTAATGGGCGAAGTTCAGTGGCGGCTCCTGCTGAGGTTGCACAGTTGCGCAACCCCCAGATATCAAAAAAGGTCATACAATAAGTTAGCAATAGGAATTTTCATTTCAATGAATTCAATATTGAAGATATTACTGCAATATTAATGTAAATGAAATAATTTTGAAACCAAAGAGGTCCAACAAGCACTCTCTCCGACGTTTCTTCCAGGTTTCACGTTCGGTGTCGCAACCAAGTGGGTGGGGGTCTTGTCGCCGAACGCCGCGCGGCGTCCGAGGGAGTTAATAGGATATACCAATAGATGTCTGACTTTAGCTGCAACTTAATTTTATGAATTTCGCGTGTAATGGGAAGTACATAAGTTCAGTCAATTATTGACGGCATTGAATTAATTATTTATGATATTTGGAGCGCTCGTTTTCATTTTGTATTAGGTTTATTGATACAAAACGTACATTTGGCAAGTTCTTTGTGTAAAGTTGGCCGTTCTGGAGGAAGTCCCTTTCTTTCTCGCATGATGTGTGTTTCTTCGCGGCTTTGTTGGAGCCAGTCTGCGAGCGTTGTTGTGAATACGAGTGTGCGTGTATGATCTTTCATTATTGCGATAAATAACAGGATAGTCAAGTTTACGCAATAAAATGATTTTATTTGCATAAAAAGTGTCCAAATAATGGTGCGTGTTGTTAGATGCTGGACTGCGATCACTGTATTTTTGAAAATATTTTCTTTTTTGTTTGGTGTAAATTCTATTACCGTCAATTGTCCTTTTGCATAACTAATACAAAAAAGTGTCCACTTCAAATCAAAGGCAGAACCACGTGCCCGGTAGGTGAATATACCTGACACGGACGCTACGCATGTAATTGTTCTACGCACGCAATTATGAAAATAATTTTTCAATTTTTACTAAAAATACTTTTAATTAATTTACATGAATTACTTTCATTTTATATATTCGTGTTTAGAATTTTCATAGTTACATTTCCGCCTTTTGATGAAGCCGCAATTTTCAGCTTGTTCGGGTGCCAGCCGTTAGTGGCGTTTTGGCAACGTTTGAAAGCAAGACATTATCACTTTCATGTAATAGAAACTATATGCATATGCTATTGAGCTAAAGAAGTAGACTGAATATTGATGAAATAGGTCTCTCTCACTCTTCTCGCGTTTGGCAAAATTAGAGCCAAAAAAAAAAAGTGCACAGATAAATGATGCCCAATATTTCCCTTTCAGTCGCGGAAACACGAATAATGACTCATCGGAGTATCGTGTCGGAGACGCGGTTTCGATTATCACTCTTTCTCCGTCGTTATCTCTGACATGCTTCGGGAAATTGTGCTTCTATATCAAATATAATTTCGCGGCACGTTTCTTTCAAGAAATACGTTGTTAGGAATAAAAGTAACTGAAATGTTTTTTTCTCGACGCAGCACTAATGGCATTGGACGACACTGCGCTGAGAGTTCGTGCATCAGGACCCCTTTTGCCAAACAACAAATGTTATGCTGTAAGCTGTTCGTTGTTTTGGTGTAATATAGACGCACAATAGATAAGAAACCCGTATCTATAGAAGTATCCTTATAGGTTATTGAAAAATACAACTTAAAAAGGAAGAGTTTGATAAAGGAATGTTACACAAAATGTTACTCATCAAATATTCCACTAATTTTTTAAAATTTGATTGATTGTTACATTTGTGTAGTTTATCCTATCACATTTATTTATTTATTTTATATCACACTTACTATTTATATTTTAATTTAGATAATTCTATATAAATTAATTTTAAATTTAGTATTACATTCTCCTAATCAAGATACAACTTAAAGGAGTGTAGCGATTAATAAAATTCATGTCACGTTCGACCCACTTAAATTTCGTTCCAAAGAGAAAAGGAAACTTAAAGATGGCGCATCAATAATTCAAAAACATTGAGACAAGCGCAGGATCATTGTCATAAATATGACTAATACTTTTGTCCTTAATTGAATAATGTGTGGTATTAATGATGGATGGCTATGATACGGATGTGAAGTGTTGTTTATTCGATATACAATGAAGGATCTTCTTTCAAGATCTTGTGTAAATGACCTTATCAACCTTGAGCAATGCGGATTTTAGCGTATTATAGTGCCAGAGATAAGACTGCTATCATCAGGAAGTACGATTTTTTAAAAACGTTTTGTTTATCACACCACGCAGACCTCATTTACAATGTATTCGTGGAGCTAGAAGAATAATAAACGTGTCATTGTTTCAATATATCTCAGAAATACATTGTTATACTTTTTATACTTTCGTATACTTCTACATTGTGCAGGGATACTTTTGTAATAATGCAGAAGAAATCGCTGATTTTTAGAAAGAAAGACTCGTGATACTAAAAGCAATGATACCCTAAAAGTGAAGTACTTTAGTAGTAAATAGTAAGCTACTTTATCGAGTATAAGGTGTGGTTAGAATACACATGTATTGGTGCCATATGATCCCATGCGGAGATTACGCAATTCTTAATGAAGCAAGGTAGAAGGGTAATAAACATGGAAATAAAAATATTAAGTATGATTGAAATTATGAATGGATTCTTTAAATAGTAGGAAACACCTCTTATGCACCTTCCGTAGTTTTATTTTAACCGAAAGCTTCGAACGGTTAAAGTCGCGATCACACGCGTCTACCCACGTTATGATGTTTAATGCAACGAATTCCGGATTAGGCTCAGATTCTAATATAATGGCGAACAGAAAGAGATTGTTTGGGATTTTTACAAATAATCAGATTACCAGATATCATTATAGGCATGTATAGAACGTTTGTGCTCTTCAGAGGTCGTTCGGCATTTATATTATAATGTTATTATCGTTATTTTTTGTATTCTTTCGATTGCACTGCCTAGGAATACTATTAAAAATTCAAGACTTACTATCCTGAAACGACAAATCCTACTGTTTCTCATACAGGTTACTGGTATGCGCAGTAATAGTCCGCCCGATGAAATCAGTTAATGGCTTATCGTCTGCACGTCTAACGTATATTTCCCATGGTCTGAGAAAATCTTGGCGTAGTTGTCAAACCACTCACTTTGCACCTCTGAGATCCAGGCTTCAAATTTCTTACAATGTACGTGGAATTTCAGGTAGACAGAGCGCGCTCCCAGTAGACGGGGTGCTTCCGTCTCTCCTGCCATCATTCCCACTGTTAGTATCAGTTTCCACCAAAAAATACAAATTTTTTCTTTATGAAATAACTTCTACAGAAGTTAG